AGCACTACATGAATGCCTACACTTTTTGTAAAAACCAGTTTAAGACATCTGTTTACTTATTAACAAATACATTCTTATCATTTTCAAACATGTTTTAGCCACCAGGACTACCACGGCCGCAAGGTTAAAAAAATATTACAAAATTTTATTAACCACGTCATAAATCGAATAGGTTTATTTTTTTGCAACATACATAATGTTATGACCACATAAACGGCAAATCGGTGGATTTTACGTCCATCGATATGAAAGCGCAGTATGTGTAGCTGGCTGACTTTATTTTTTTGCTTCGATTATTTTTCATCTACTTTCAGCTAAAAACTGGTTCCGTTAACAATTTATGAATGACTATGGAGTTTCTAGTGTGCACAACCAAAATACAATTAATCACGCATAACAAGTTGATTCGCTAATTAAGGTCAATAAAAGTCCTCATTAATTTAGGGGGCGAACAGTTCTTTAATAGACGTAGAAAGTAAACAGATAAATGTTGTATTAATTCAATCATTATTCTACCAGCCTTAGCAAAAAAGTTGGTCCAACGTTCTCATTTACTTAATAGAGAAATATGGTCATTCAACGTTTCCAACTATAACTGGATATAGGTAACTCCATCTAATCCAGCTGGGCTTGAGGGTGTAAGCAAACAAACGAGGTGGTATTCAGTCAGTAAGAGTCAGACACGGAGTGACCCGTCCGAAGAAGTTCAAGGATTTTTCCCCCTCTCAAAGGCCACTTTAATACCACGCCACCTAGCTCGATCGGCTGTTCGCATAATACATTCACATCATTCTTTATAAATATGCAATTCACATTATAACTAAAAAAATATTAGTTTTAAAATAAACGATTATCCGCATCCAAAACTAGTTATGGTACATTCCTCAAATAATTTTAAACTGGTTAAGAAGAATTCAAAACACGTATTAATTTGTCTCAAATGGATGCACTGGTTGTTAAGCAGAGGACTTACAATTGCGGGTGAATTTTCTGGAAGGGTTTAGGGTGCTTCGGCACGAACAGTCTGGATGGGAGTAAGGATAGAAAACTGCTCTTTCTTTCATTCATTCATTCATTCTCCGTGAAAATGAAAAAGTGACGGTAATGCGCTTACTACTTCTATGGAGTCGCTAATATTCAGAGGCCGCTTTGATCGCTTATGATAAGGTAATGCTTCTGCTATTTTGCCGGCAGCATTTTTATACCATGAAAAAGAGAGTATTGTGTAGGTTTTGTAATTAGCACATATTAGTAGGTCTTGTTGCCCCAAACATTCAGGCAAAGTTTTTCGATCAAGAGAGTGTGGTTTCATAACCTGGCGAATACTAATGTACCTTCTTGCGAGTAATAAGTACTTTCAAAAAATATTTGAACACTGATAGACTGTTAAGGAAAACATCAGGAGGAGATCTGGAGCAAGCAGGACTTTCAGCTTACTCAGCAGTAAGTATTTATAGGTTGATGATGTATACGTACATAAAGCCTTTTAGCTCATATAATTAACTTAACTAGGTCGTAAGTAAACATGAATAAATTAAAACTCTAAATAGCTACCTTGATGCCTAAATACACAACTCGTAGATGTTTCTAGCTAATATAGCTTAGGTTAAAATCTTAAAGTGCATTCTCATTAACCGCGACAAATTATTTGCAATCACGATTCCTGGTTCAAATATGAGATTGGGTTTTTAAGTTTTTTACTTTCAGATTTCTTAGTAGCGACGCTTATTCAGAATTCGTGTGCGGTATATGACGTTGTCATAGGTTCGTCCCCTATTACAAAAGTACAATTCCCTATTACTAGCCAATAAAACAACAAAGGAGAGGCAAAGGCCTAATAAAATGTAGCGCCATCTTTTCTCAAATTACATGACGAGTTCAAAGACTTAATTAATAGCAGCAGGTCCTATTTCACAGGACAATCTTACTCTCCCTAAGATGACTTACAAGTTTTGATAAAATTCAACTAAAACTTCGTCCAACCTGAGCTGAAGCAGTGACCCCTTATTCAGCAGTCACATCTACCATTTCAGTATCAATCCGAACTAGTTAATATTATAAATGCGAAAGTAACTCTGTCTGTCTAGACTTTTCTTCACACCTAAACTACTGAACCTATTTGTGTGAAATTTGGAACAGCCATAGTTTGGAACTCGAGAAAGGATATAGGATAGTTTTTTCACCAAAAAAGTCGCAGGCAAAAGCTAGTCTAGTCTTATAAATTAAATCATTAAAGTAGACTAACAGATAATGCGTATTGCATTAAGTATAACTAACTATACATAATTTGTTTCCATGAACTCAGGAAGCCTTAAATAAATAATACACAGTCCACCTACCCCTTCCTAGAATCCATAAAACTAGGGCACATGAATAAAGGGGTTAAATTAACATACTGTACTGTTCAGCTAGAGGTCATTGCCCTGTTGTTAACTATGAAAGTGTGGAGTGAAACACTGAAACATGACCTACATTGGTAGCAACAAATTGTGTTAATGGAATGTACATACATATACAATTTATTCAGTAACTGATAAATGTTATTTTACTTATAGATAAGTATGCATCACCACGCAAAATCATTTATTTAAATAAAGATTACAATTACAATAAAATGTGGTTTAAACAGTTATAACTATAAATAATTACCAACTAGAAGTCATAAACTTGAGTTACTTAGTGATGCATACTTTTATCTGAATCATCATCATCATCAGCCTATAAGTGCCCACTGCTGAGCAAAGGCCTCTTCTCATATGAAGAAGGTTAGAGCATTAATGACCATGCTTGCTCAATGCTCAAACTTATAATTAGAAATTATAAGTCCAGGTTTCATCACGATTTTTACCTTCACCATATGTCAGTGGGTCTAAATAATCATAGAAAGTACATATAACTCGGAAAAAGTCACATTGGTACTTGCTAGGTTTCGAACCACACCCTCATGCATGAGAAGCGGGCTCCATAACCTCCGGGCCACTACGGCATATACATATGGTTATAACTATAAATAATTACCAACTAGAAGTCATAAACTTAGGCTACTTAGTGATGCATACTATTATCTGAATAAATAAAACAATTGTGGTAATAATTAGTTTATCTGCATTATGAGTCACAGAGCTCTCAATTTTAATTCATCTCTAGAATTTGTTGTTGCTCGCCAATAAATTGACTCAACAAAAGCTCATCATTAATTTTAGTCTGCTGCGTAAGTGTTGCTAATAGGAAATAATATTTTTTTTATGTCATACAGCAGTAGCTGGACTACTGGCTACTGGGCAATAATATTTTAAGATTTGTTATATGTAGTTTTAGGGTGTGACATGTAGCAAGCCAGAGTTTGACAATCCCTCTAGGGTGGAAAGAGTCATAGTATTTCATAGTTTTCTATCCTTAAAACAAGTTTGATTTCTGAGACACGTTCCAAGCAATTCAAATCCACTAATAGGTCCAGATTAGGAAACATGGTATGAATCAGATGTGTTTATAATGTTACTTTAAAAATGCATATTGTAAGAAGTTTACTAACAATTATGCTTGTTTTTGTTTTTTGTTACAATAAATTAATCTCATTAAAAGTAAAAATATTGTATCACCTCCATCCAAATCTAAAAAAGGAGAGTACTAATGTATCATTTGTTACAATACGACAGCATTTTATTAAATAAGCTAACTTACTTATCATAAGTTGTTATTGATGCACAAACAGCGGTTTTCAGTAAGGCATTACTGTGAAAATGTACATAGGCTGTCATTGAGCATGCAGTGTGTAACAAAACAAACAATTAATTAAAACAAGCAATTTATTCTAGATGCTAATGGCACTGAATGAGGGCAGTAATGGGTGTCATTGTCCTAATATCTACTATCTTTGCTCACTATTTCACAACGAGGATATGTTGACTGCCAAGAGTTCACAACTACTATTGACTTTTAATCACAACTTGTTACACCATTAACTAAACATTCAACTTTTAATTCATAACATTTGATGCATAGCCAACTGAGCCAACCATAATGAAAATACCTAAACACTAGCCAAGAGGGATGAATACAAAGTATACGACTGCAATGAAAAGTAGGCTGAAGAGAAACACAGAAAAAACTACTAAATGATACAATAAATAAGTACTATGTGAAAGTAAGAAGCTATTGCTTCGGAAATTCCACAGTAATCGCAGAAAACAAGATTTCTAATATCACTTAATCATTAAATTAGTCTGGTTTTAGTATTAGTCATACAAGTATGTACAAAGTCGAGCAATCCGTGCTCCTTTATGTATGCTTAGTACATTTGCATGTTTGAAGACCATGAAACTGAATAGACAGTGTATGGGAAGAGAATAAGTGTGATTTTAGCTTAAACAATAACCTTTCTATGTCATGTTCACAGCCTATTAGCAGTGTAAGTGCTTGTGGTAATGCGAGCATACCAGTAATGCTTTCACTTTGGATTCTGATGAAACATGGCACATGCCAAAACAAGTTAGTTACAAAATGTTTCATACATTAATTATTGACTCTTAAACACAGTACCAGTAATATTTTATAGTCTCAAAATAGGTCAGATCATAGCTAAAGAAACATGTAACAAACAGCTACAAAACAGGATAGATATGCTTCGTGTTATTCATAGTTCTAGCTGGATATTGTAAAACATATTTATTTATATGCTATGTGTAGAGGAAAATAAATGGGTTTATTTTATGATATTGTTTTTCGAATATGTGTTTATATTGTTCAGTTATGGTATTCATAGATATTTAATGACAATGACTAGGGTTTTTAAACATACAGAAGTTACAGAAATAGGTAGATAGCACTTGATAAGTAATGCACCAAAAAAAAAACATAAAACAAGTCGATATACCTATTACTGCCAACCTTATGTATGGCTGTAAACATGTATGACTGGTTAATGCACGTAAAGGAAAAGAAATCGCGCAGGAACCGCTCACTATTGAAATGATTGCATAAAAACAGATATGATTACTCACGGTTCGGCCTCTATAGATTGCAGGCGTGCGACATAATTCGATGGAATGTAGCCTTCTTGTTTGGTCTTCTTGCTTCTGGCTAACCACCAGTCACCTTGTGTATCATTTAAGATTTCTAAATGTTCCCCTTTTCTAAAGCTAAGGTCCTCATCAGTACGGGCATCGTAATCGTACAGTGCCACAAATATTCGGGTGGGAGGGACCTCACTCGTATCTGTTCCTTGATTCACAGTAGATCTAATTGGATCAGGCGGAGGGGTCGGCACTGGGGTCTGGAACTGCCTAGGGTCTTCTTCATGCGGGTTCGCCCTTTCATTTTTGCTTTTAGAATCCTTTTCTCCTGTACTACTAAAACAGTTCCCCATTTTCTCTTTACAAGGTGAGTCTGGTACCACTCGTTTTATGTCAAATCACACACTTGTATGAACCCAAACTATTGTCCAAAGTTTCTATACCTATAAACATTTTATTTTGTCACATGAAAGTCAGAATTTTGAAACAAATAATATGTTTTTATCGTAAACAAAGAACATAAAACTCCGATCGGACATCACCACAGTCGGCCATTTTGATGCTCCATAGACAATTTATAAAAATAAACACAGATAATACCAAAAGCCTCATCAATAGACATCAATTAATCAAAACGAGTCACGTATTAATATTAAACTGAAGAAGGCCCCAAAATCTGTAATTTTTCTTGTAAAACGATAATTAGTGTCTAAAATTGGAATTAAAATGATATATTTTAAACTCTCAAACCTAAAGTTTTAATTTTTTTAAGCAGCATCTAGTGTTTTTCTCAAGAAGTAATCTAAATCACGCCATCTAACGTCGACACGATAAACTTAATGTATCCGTCTTGGAATTTCAGTACCTAAGTAGGGCTTTTAATAGATGGCGTGACTATTCACATTTGACAGATTTTTCCTGGTTTCATTACAAATACTTTTAATATTTTATTTTTTACTTTATGTTTATTATTCTTAAGGTACAAGTATATCGGAATCGAACCCGCAACTTGTTACCTATATAGTCACTGCCTTGCCAATGCCAAAGTCAAAATGGCGTGATAGTACCTACTATAGAGTACCTAAATAATATATCGGGTACGTATACAGGTAAAATAAAGACATAATTACACATTATGTCATTCTCTGCGACACGTTCTTACTATTTATTTACAAAATATTTATTTTCGTATAAAGTTCTTTGTCTCTCACGTTGTGTTGTGCACTTTTCTATTCCCAAGAGAAAGCAAACTTTGACGGTAGAGAACACCGATACTTAATAAACTGTATTAAAGAATTTTCAAGCTTATAAGTATTTAACGTTGCAGCAAATTGAAACCACGCAAAGAAAAGATAACTAAAGTTGTTTTGAACTTTAATCTCGTCTTTGAGATCAAGTGGATAATCTTTAATGCTATCTAATTTACAATTTTCTTTGAAACATTCATGTTTTATTATCTTCCTGTCAATAAAATTGTTCAACAATTTTCTAAGTTCAGAGTCGGATTAAATTTAGTGAGCGCCCTGTACACCCGTACGCCATGGGCGACCGTAAATTAAAAAAAAATTAAAAGAAATTTCCGCGCCCTTGAACGGAACTCCTTAAATTTAGTAAAATTACAACCATGCTACTTAAACGTAGTGGTTACATACTCTTTGATGCTACTTATATTGTCAAACTTGAGTGTTATTGCGGAAAGGAAAGCGGAAAGGGTAGAAAGAAGGGATTTATGACTGACAGTACCTACCTAATGTTTTCTAGACAACCTTTGAATTACTTAGTAAAATTGTAGGTAGGTGAGTACCTAAATGACGAGCTACGTGTTGGTGTTGTCTGTGGGTGGCACAGATAGCTTACCGTAATCAGTCTGCTCGTTTACCACCCAATAAAATTTAAAATGAATTTATTACAACTTCACGTGTGGTGTCTGACTTGAGCGTAGGTATGGCGTGTAGCGTTCCGCGGGGACCTCATAGAGCCTATGGACTACCACATATGGCAGGGCAACCGCAATAAGGTACCATGACCTTCGCCTGGAGCAGGAGAAGGAACGGGATGGTTCTTAGTCAGAAGAGCATGACAGTCCTTCTCGCCTCATACGGGGCGAGAGAATCCAAAAGTGAGGTTGTTAATACAATATAGGTAGTATAGTAAACCATAAAAACAACTTAATTAGGAGATCAAATGAGTCAGATGTGCGAAGTTACTACCGTGGCTTGAAAATGTTCGAGTAGGCTCGTCAAAAAGTGACGTCGCTATCCCGTACCCTTTGAAAATAATAATGTGTATTTTGGAAATATTTAAGTAGGCTACAAGAAAGCCTCTGTGCCTGCAAAGGCCATCCCTATATTTATAAAGGTAATTGGGTAGTGTCCTAGGTCAAAAATACTTAAATTATTTCGACATTTTAATACAATGAATGATTAAAATCCGCCGCTAGCGCCTCAAAGAGCCAATAGACCTCTACAGACGGGGCCTCAAAGGGCTGATGTTCTGCTGGGGTTGCGCAATGGGGCACCACGGCCTGGGCCCAAAACAGTGATGGAATAAGGGGTTTTTAGTTACTATTAGTCAGTAAGAGTCTGACATACTCTCGCCTTACTCGGGCGGGAGAAGTCATTTGACGATTTTCCCCTGACAAAAAGAATCATTGATTTGTAGATAAACTTAATTTTAGATTGTTCTAGTTAACTTTTTTAAAATAAGTAATTCGGATAGAATAAGTAAGACGTCATAATTATGTTGCGATCTCATACAAAATTAATAGAGTAGGTAGGTAGTAGTAGTAGTTTTTGACATTTCAGTAAAAGTATTGAATTTGACTAGTTGGAAACTCCCGGATTTCCACGTAGATTGTTTTTTTTTTATATGAAACTTACTTGAAATTTATCCTTAATTTGTGATCTTCTCCCACCTAGTCTCTCGATGTTCGAAATACAAAAAAAATCTAAGTTTCAAGATGATACTGTAATTGAATTTTATGTTCTTGGCTCAGATAAAATTAATTAAAAAAATTGCTTTGTTTCGTTTTGGACAAGAGAGTTTGTTTGTTTTCAGCTTGTTATTGTTTCTTTTGATTTTCTTAGGGTTCCGTTATTAAATAATTATGTAAGTAATTTTTGGTTCAGGTTAGATTGGCGTTTGTGTTCTTGGTAGGTGTCTAATAAGTTTTTGTAAAGTATAATTTATATTTCAGATAGTACCTATCTTAAACATATGTACACATAGCTTATTACTATCCCGATGCGAAGAAGGAATGATGAGCATGAATTACCAGACTTGCTCAAAGCGGATTAGCGATTTCAAAATCATGATTTGTTATTATAGGTTCAGGTTTCCTTATTAACGTTGATCTTCACAGTGTGTGTAATTAATCTTAGTATTTGCTTTTATATTTATTTTATATAATTATATTTTTATATATTATTGGGGGTGGAGAAGGATTGGGCCTCTGGTCCTCATAATAACCTCACTCACTCAATTCATTCAATGTGTATAGAATTGGGAAATAAATATACGTGATATTTTTTTTATTTCGCTGTGCAGACTTTTTCTCACTTTCCAATAGGCAATACTAGATTTAGAAGAAGAAGATAAGAAGAGTTTGTAAAGATCTCTATTGGACAGAGCACCTAGCGTAGCATGCTGGATAAAAGCTATGAGTAAAATTGCGGAGGAGAATATGTAGGTTACTAACAATAACTTTTATAGACATCAAACTTATACTGTACTCTCTAAACTGTGAAAACTGTGGTCAACTCCAGTTATACCGACTTTTAACGTTGATAGGTATCTATCTATTCGGAACTAGAGCGAAGTAATCCAAGATCGCTGATGTGATTTCCCAAGACATCTCGCTTTCCTTCGTTGTAATCAAAACAAGTACGTACCTGCCTTAAGTACAGTCGACAAATTTAAATTACGACCCACTATTTTCTGACAAACATTTAAATACGACTCGCTCGATGGTCGCGTACATTATTATTATTATTATTTTTTTTTTTTTTTTTTTATAATTATATTTACAATCAGTCCCAGGACTATAAGTAAATTGGTTGTGCGGCGTTTATCTATGCAAGAGGTCTCCCCATCGAGAGACACTCCTTTCCTTTCACCATCGTACATCCAGTCTCTGGATGTCGTAACGTTTGAGGCGTCTATTATATTTTATATTTTTCAGATCGGCAGCTAGTTCGTTCGGGTGATTGTCGAGCCGGTTTCTGTAGTTGGCGTATGACTGCTGTATCTCTTCCTTCACTGTTTCAATTTCCAATACTTCATGGATTTCCGAGTTAGTCAGGAACCATGGAGCGTTTGACAGTGTACGCAATATGGCATTTTGTAGCCTTTGTATGATGGTTATACTGGAGTTACAAGCACTACCCCAGAGTTGAATTCCATACCGCCATACAGGTTTCAGGACCATTTTGTATATAAGTAGCTTGTTGTCCACAGAAAGTTTTGAGTTACGTGCCATCAGCCAGTACATGTTCCGGAACCGGATGCTTATTTCATCACGCTTGGTTTTTATGTGCTTTTTCCATGTCAGTCTCCTATCCAGATGTATACCGAGGTATTTGACTGATTCGCTCTGGGGAAGGATATTAGTTCCCAGTCGCACGGGTGGACAGTTTTTCTTTCTAAGCGTGAATGTGATGTGGGAGGATTTATTATTATTATTTACAAGGTATTTTCCCCAGCCTTTTTAATTTGTCTGTTTCAAAAGGTTTGTTTTCAAAGGAGGTCGTGATTAGAATGTGTCGATAGTACGCAATGGATAGCAGTCTCTCTTAATTAATTGAGGACGTAAACATTGACTTTTACACAAAACTTTAAATGATTTTTAAAACAAATTGTTTTTTCCAGAGACGGGTATTAACCTCGGATTGGATTAAAATTTAAAATGAATTAGGTATACGTTCTTCCATATTTTTAAATAAGTTTTGAAGTCGACTTTAATATAAATTGAGATAAAATGGTCTTGAAAAGTTTTCTGTTTTGATTGGAGCTCAGTAAATTACGGTTCTACGGGCCAATCAGTAATTTGGTTTGAAAAAATGTTCATACCATCCCTAGGAAAAGAGAGTCATGTGAGTCTTTCCTTTTTAATAGCATAATAGAAGACGGGTGCATACGAGGAGCAGGGCCACTCCACTTGGTGGTAACCAAACCCTGCAGATCTATAGACGAAGACTCTAGAGAAGTAACAACAACATTCCGGGGAAATTGGAGATAGGGGATTGGATGAGAGTCTCCTGTAGCCTGTAGATAATATTACTCCCAGGATGACAGTTTTCTGTAAGGCCGTGATATTATTTACTAAGTATATATAACACGCCCCGGCATCTAAAAAAAACATTCTCCACTATTTAATGGATGTTAGGTATTATACATAGTAATTTTCCTCTTCAATCACTCTATCTATTAAAAACCGCATCAAAATACGTTGTGTAGTATACACAAAGTCGTTTTATGTAGGGATATATAGGTAAAGCGATTTTGTTTTATACATATTATGTATTGATGCCGGCTGCCGAAGCGCTTGTCTGCCAATGGGAATTTAAAATTATAAAAGAAACAGACGGATAGATAA